TGAGGGGGTTGAGACCTCGGAGTTTTGGCGGGGCGTTCTGCAGCCCACTCAGCCAGCTCTCGTCTCCGCCGGCTTCCAAGAAGCTGGCGCTGTGCTGCTGTACCACGTAGGAGCAGTGGTGGCGGGCGGCGGCCTGAGGGGGACGAGCGGACAGATTAACCCTTTCATGCGCCAATAAATGATAACCTGTAACCTGATAGGCTGTACGCTGTAGTAACCGCTGCCCCTGAAAGGGTTCAAAGGCAGACATCGGTTTTGTCGGGCGTCGGGTGGACAGGGGAAGTCCGTTCGGCACTGCTCACCATGATGGTGATGTAGTGTCTCCAGTGGCGAGGCAGGGGGCCGTCCATCTCCAGCAAGGCATGCTGGGTCCTCAGAAAGCAGCTGAGGTAGGCGGGGTGCAGCGCCATCACCATGGTGACGTGGTCCACGCGGCCCAGAGACAGGAACGACTCGATCAGGATGTCCTGGTCCGGCCCATCTTTTAAGATCTAATCCCAGAGGAAAAGTGTTATTTCCGGACACGAGCATTTTTTTTAGGATTTGGGGAGGAAAATGTAATATTCAAGAGTAGCTCAATTTCACATGTGTAACCCCTGCGCCATTTTGTCATTGTGCCTTATCTACAAATGACTTTAAATTGGCTTAAAACTGATTCCTACTTCTACATTGTTGCTTTCGCTTTCATGTCATTAAGAACAGTGATTCTTCAAGTATGGTCTGCAGGCTCCCTCTAGTGGTACGCTGAAGAATCACTGCCTAATCGCAGTTCAGTTTCTAATTAACTTAAGTACAATACATTTGCATTTGATCATAAATATTCTTTTGAAACTTTTATTTCAGTACAATTATTTTTAAAGGCTTAAATAAAAAAATCCAATGACCCAATGACATTTTGGAAATGTAAAGACATTTGCAGACTCATTTGTCTTCAAGCCTCAAATGAGGCTGTTGTGAGTGGAAGCGACTCACCTGTTTGGCAGGAATAAAGGCACTGGGACCCGAGGCCAGGGCGCGAGGAATTTCAACTCCTTGCTCCTGGTGATCAAGAGGACAAAGATGTGTTGAAAAAAAAAAAAAACGTGGTGTTGGGAAACGCTGCTGGTGAGCCTGACGTGGCGAGATCACGGTGATGGGTCGTTGCGAAAGTGTGAACATGTCAAAATGAGTCAGGCCAAAATCATTCTTGTTTAGTGTTACATTTTAAAGTGTACTGAAGTCCACGGGAGGCTATTGACTTATTTGTGTGAAATTGTTTTGTCAGACAAATCTGGCCTAAACTGACGGTTATCTCCGAGGTGCTTGTTGTTTCATCAGTTACTTAGCCAGACTCAAATATTTACTTAGGTTGTCAAGAAAAAAAAAAAGGTCAAATTACAAGATTATAATAGAATGCATTTGCCAAGAAAAAAAAGGGTCAAATTACAAGATTATCATAGAATGCATTATCTAATACAAGTATTAATAATAATTTTGCAAAAACAAAATTATAAGGGAATTGGATATCATTAGCCTGACAACATAACCACCTAAATACAAAGTCATTTTAACCTTATTTTTACAACATTGATAATAGCAATGCACATGCTAAAATGATTTCTTTTGGGCTGTGTAGAACCGACATCATCCAGGTCACGGTATTGCACAAATGTTGAATTGAGGTAACGGGACTTGTTTGTTTTAATTTTTTTTTGCTTTTTGACAGCAGGAAAAGTCTTGTCATCATTTTAATAATAATAATACATTTGTGTCCTTACAATAATTTTGAGTAACTCACACATTAATACAACAATAATCATGTTCAATATTTATGAAATATGGCGCAATCACTTTAGAATTCCCAGGAGTAAAAAAAATTTGGTGTTACTTTTTTTCTTCCCCCATTATAGTCAAATTCAAAGAAAAATGTTGCCTTCATAAAAGTCGGCTTTCCATTGACGTGAGATGTCATCTTTGTTTTGCTCTCAAATCTCATTCAACAACTGTCTTTCTGATGGCACACCTTGAACTGTAATCTGACAGGCGGCCCGTGAAAATTGGCTTGAGCCCCTAAATAAAACATTTAACAATAAAGAGCTAAACTCACCGACATTTTCAGTAGACAAAAGTCCTCCTGGCTATTTCCTCGAGGAACATTTGGATGAAAAACTGCAGTTTGTTTGTCGGAAATAGCGAAGGGCGTTGGGGGCGTGAATGTGCGACAAGAGGGAGTTTGGCTTCATCAGGAAGTGGGCGAGCCATGACCACATAGGGGCGTGGCCACAACAGTAAGTCAGCGCGGATGACCAAAGGGGGGCGTGGCTTAGGCTGCTTGTTTGTGCTTCACCACTGAGGAGTCTTGCATCACCTTCTACGTGCACGTCTGATGAAACCAGTGGAAACTATAAAGTCCAACTTTTTGTTTTAAGACACTCTATTGATTAGTGTGATAAACTTAACTGCAGCTGAGGTCTTTTCAACAAATAGTCCAAGTTTTCACATTTAACCCAATGTTCTCTTTTGTGGTGCTGTTGGTCCATTTACTGTATTGTCAAGATGGCATGTCAAAATTAGCAAGTTTCACTTAACTGGTCTGAAAATGATTACATATCACAAATGGTGATTTTCATAACTGTGGATTTGTTGTGCTCCACTCTAACATCCTAAAAGTACCCATATTAGCAAAAGATGAGCAGGGGTTCGACCACCAACTGATGGCCAGCCAGCTTGAATAAGATTTCAGTACTGGTCCAAAAGGCAGGAGGAAAATTGAACCAATGCTGAAGCTATCATTAAATGCTAACGGTCTATAACTGCTTCAAACAAGGTGTATGCAGTAATAATTATGGTTGTATTATTGTCCATTTTTATGTTAGGTGTTCTGTTGTATTATTTTTGTTGTTTGTGTTACTGATATTTCTATTGACACACCAGCGTTATTGCATATGTGATGCATTTTTTTCTCAATCTAATCTGAAAGCCATTTATTTGTATAAATGCATTTTTTTTCAAATTGGAATAGACTGATGCCTGAGTGTCTTCGGACTAGTTTGGGGTGCATTTAAGGTTTAAAATATTAATATAGGCAATTATGCAACATTTTTGAGCGGCATGAACTATTCCCGTGATGGTCTCAGTCGGTAACCCCCCAAACATCGATGGTCCACTGCCTTGCTTCGCTCTCATCCTGTGCTGGTAGACTCACCTGTGCGGCCCGCAACAGCTCGGTGGCCCTGGATCGCACGTCCCGCAACGGACAGGACCGGGCCAGCCGCAGCAGATGCAGAAGCGTCTCCTTGCCCAGCCGCGTCGAACCCGGCCGGTCCAGACCCAGACACACCAGAACCCCTTGGCTGAGCTCCTCCAGAGCCGCCGCCCGTTCCTCCTCGTCTCTGCTACACAGCCGCGCCAGGGTCTTCATAGTCGTCCCTCCTCGGCCGTCGTCGGAGTCGGGCCCCGGGCCTGGTGCGCTGTCCCCGTTGGCCCGCCATCCAAATCCTGTTTCAGTGTCGCTGGCCATTGCACGCCGCTCGGCTGTCCGATTAGTGACGAACGAGCGAGCTGGTCGGCTGGGTAGCCGCCGTTAGCTCCGGGCTAACCGTTTTGTCGTTTATCTCGAAACGTCGGTGCCGGAGTTTGTCCGACACAGTGTACTACGCAATCCCGGGTTCCGTTAATGATTAACGCCGGTGCGAAGACGGCGGAAAACGTTCACGCAAGGCCGATATCCCTTCGCGCATCACCGGGGCGAAACTGAAAACAACCCAGCTAGGCTAAGCTAAGCTTGGGTAACAAAGCTAAAGATGCTCTCGTCAAAAGAGTTGTCAACAAACTTGTCACGCGACAAGCTCCCGAGTGAAAGGGGTGGCGGTCCGGCTGTCTTGAAGCTGGAAGACGGGCCGAACCAACAAACGTGACAATCAATAAAAAAAAACAAAAAAGGGCCGGAGGCTAGATTTTCCAAAGTTAATTCGACGCCGAAAGACATCGTCAATTCGCCGGTTTTACTCAGTCGAAGCTTTCTAGCCTTCACCAGCAACGTCATCGTGACGTTTACGGAACCTTCTAGAAATTAAACGTCGTACGTGCTAAAGTTGTTGTGTTTTTAACTACTCCAACGTTATAAGAAACGAGGTATTAAAAACCCAAGTTATTTGATGGAAACACCTTGAATTTAATTTAGAAGTCATGATGATTGCTGTAGTGTACACTCTCGTTCAAAAGTGTGGGGTCACTGAAAAACGTCATTATTTTACTTTTGATAATAAACTTGCCCATTTGTTAAACGTGAATGTGATTAAATGGACAGAAAACACAAATTATCTTAGATATTATGTACAGCATATTCTAAATATGCATTTGTTTTTCATTTCCTCTTGAGGGACTGTAATGAACCAGCACGGTGTGTTACTGGTTCGCACATCTGCCTCACAGTTCTGTGGTTCAGGGTTTGAATCTGGACTCCAACTTCATGGGTGGACTTAATTGCGTTTCCTTATTTACACATTCCAAAATCACCAATCTCACGTTCGCTGAAATCTCTAAATTGTGAATGCTTGTTTGTTATGTCCTCAAATGGTTGGCCACCAAGTGCTGCGTTACGGCACCTCGCATCCAAAATCAGTTGGAATAGGACAACCGTTATACAAAATGGATGGATGGATTATAATTACTAAAATATATAACATTCTGTCCTGTGACCATGTCTCTTTTTATCATTGGATATTACATTTGGAAACCGATATTACAAATTGGAAAAACTCGTTCTTGGATTTTAGCCTTAATTACCAGAAACACCACAGGGGTGGCACTACACTGGGGCTATATGGGAGTCTTTAGCTGCGACATAAATTTGTGAAGCCCCTCCAGCATTTTGATGGTCTAAAACATATTTATAAATTTGTATTTCAGCCCCCTATGTATTGACCGAGCCCCCCTTTAACCCCGCAGAGAAAAGATCCTGGAGCTGACCCTGGCTCGGCGACTGCCCGTAATACGCATGCGCATAAAATCCAGGCAGCCACTTCGGGTGTAAGCAAGGTGGCGGCATCACTCAACATTTTCCCTCCGGAGATTTAACTTTATTTATACCAACATTTGAAAAATTACATTAAAAACTAATTAATGGCTACAGCATTTAAAAAAAGAGAGAAATAGCCCCAACGCATTAGACGTGTGTGATGACGTCAGCAAAGCCCTATTGTAGAGGACGATGGCTTAGATGCGGCCGCTCTTCAGTAAAACTCTGCCTTCTAATCCACGGAGAGTTCAACTCAGTTGGCTATTGTCAATAAAAGACACGTTGAAAATGTGTTCCATTTTTACTTTCACTCCATGGAACTGTTCCCAACATTCCGCTCCCACCTGCCTCCCCCTTCTCTACCCCGGCAACGTGGCTTCTCCGTTGCCCGGTGGACGGACATGCTCCCACGCTAGTAAGGTAGTAAACGATGACGTTAGCCAGCCAGGTAAACCGAGAAATTACATATAGAAATACTGTAATGCGTTTATGTGATTGTGCTAATTTGCGTTGCTTGCTAAGGTGACTCCACCTCAACTTCCGGCCCCAGGTCGTCCCTTTTGAGGCCCAAAGTAGGGGACAAACATGTCCAAGAGGCTGATCCAAAACCTTGCCAAGATCATCTCGAAACAAGTGGACCGCTGTGCGTTGCTTTGCTGACAAGATAATGTGGCGAATGAGGCTAATGTTGCAATTCTAGACCGTTAGGAATTTAAACAAAAAAACAAAACAAAAATACATGGTGTCCATTTGCGGCTCGCCGTCCATTTTGTCCCGCACTGCGGCATACACTATAAAAACCTATACAGTGATCCCTCGCTATTTCGCGGTTCGTTTATCGCGGCTTAAGTGCATTGCGGATTTTTTCAAACATATTCATTAAAAAAAAAATAAAAAAAATTCAGTCCACAAAAAGTCCGCAAACGGTCTGGGAGAAGCAGCGAAAGTCAGCAAAACAACAGCGAGTCACATAGAGCAACATATACAGTACTACATGTATATGTTTACTGTATTTTGTAATTCATACACTAACCTAACCTAATTTATACATGTTTAAATCTATTAGTATACAGCATTAAGTAATGTTAATTATGACAAAATTTACTTCTACATGCATGTATACCATTAAATTTGGCCTTATAAATATTTTTTATACTCATACACATGTACATGTACCTATGGGGTGGGGGTCGCTACTTCGCGGATTTTCATTTATCACGGGTGGTTTTGGTCCCCATTAACAGCGATAAACGAGGGATTACTGTAATAACCTTGGCGATGTCACATTTCTCTCACGCACACCTTCTCTTGTCTTGCCAGTCAATCAAACGGAGGTAGAGTGCCTTATTCGTGAGTTTTACGCCATCCTTGGACAAACAACGAGCACCGGAAAGAGCAGCTTGGACGAAAGGAAGTTCAGAAGCATATTGACAAATGAGTTCGGCCTCACCAACAACACTATCATGGAAAGAGGTATCGCTTTTATGAAACGTGTTTTTTTTGTCTTTTTTTTTTTGCTTGGATACGAGTGTGACATGATCTGCTATCCAGTTTTCAGGACGTTCGACAAGGACAATGACAACTTTGTCAGCTCCAAAGAGTGGGTGGAGGGCCTGTGCGTGTTCCTTCGCGGCACCTTGGATGAAAAAATTAAATGTAAAAAGGGATAGAAATGCAAAATAGTCTTCAATTTGTCCGGCTAATCTGCCTTCCTTCCCCCCACCCTCCAGATTGTTTTCATGTGTACGACTTGAGTGGAGACGACTACATCGCCAGGGAGGAGATTCTTCTCATGGTGAGGAACTGCCTGCGGCTGCACGGTGAGGAGGACCCTTATGACAGCATCAAAGACCTGGTGGAGATCACGCTCAAGAGGATGGTGAGATGTTGGTCATGCCACGCCACTCCATTAAAGATGGAATACAAATATTTTCATTGACAGGACCACGACAATGACGACAGACTGTCTTTTGAAGACTACAAAAAGTCGGTGAAGGAGTTGAACATCGTGCTCGAGGCTTTTGGGACATGCCTCCCCAATGCCACGGTAACAGCAAGTTAATAAGTATAAATGTCAACATGACTATGGGAATAATTGATGAATCCTACACCTGTTTTTACAGAGGATTGAGATGTTCGAGCAGCGCGTATTCAATAATAAATGGGACCACAGATGAAGTCCATCAGCTTTGAACTATTTTTGTAATACATACCAACTGCTGTTTGTTTCTAATGTGTAAATAAAAGTCATTTTAATGTTATTTTTAAATAAATATCCTCGTGTGGTTTTGGCTGCAGTGAATCAGACAACTTCATCGTTGATTTTCTTTATCAAGAAAACATAAAAAATAATGTATTTTCTACTGTGACACATTTTTTACTTTATTGACGTAATTGAACAGAATTTTGCTGGAGTTGAAGCGTAGTACTCAGGTAATGATGTAGAGATCTCAAGGTGAAGTGTCGTATTTTGAAAGGCAAGTCACCCGGGCTGCGAAATAAAAGTTTTGTTTTCACGACACGGAAGAGCGCGATTGCGCTTTGTCGCCTGTAGATAGCAGTGTTTTCCACAGTTTACCATGGGTAAGTTAAAACGCCGGTTTCCTCGTTGTCTACAATTTTAAAAAGTTATTTAAACTTGATCCCATTTCAACAAAATCAAAATGGCATCGCGTTTATGACCCCACCTTCCAAATGAAAAACCCGATTGCTAACAATGGAATAACTTAAAATCAAAGCGCACAGTTTGCAAAAAAACAAACAGTTGATTAACAATTCGGTTTGAATTGTCCTCCAGAGCCATTTGGACTGCAGAGACTACTCCGCTTTGGGTGTAGTTGGTAGTTTCTCATGACCACAAACAAAAAGGCGTCCAGTTTCTCACCTGTCACACTCAAAACGACCCCAGCTTTCACAAATTAACAAAAGTGCTTTTAAACCACGGCGATTGTACACTCGAGCACCGCCCACGAGACTATTTTTGTTTACTTCTGCAGCCACGTTTCCGAACCCCATTTCCTATTGTGTGCACTTCAAAATAAAAATATTGGATACCGGTGCTGATTTACCAAGTCAAACTCGTGTACGGCTTTATTTTGAAAAAGAAAAAAAAACAGGCACATGCGCTTCCGACCTTGAAGCCAATCGCTGCCACAGCGCGACGATGTGTAGTTGGTCACTTTCACATGTAACCCGTGTAAACAAATATTCCTTACATGTGTGACGGTTTACATGTCCGCATTCACGCGTGAGACATGTTCAGCGGCATTCAACCCGTGACAGTTGTTTTTAACAACGCGAAAAACTGCTTCCTCCACGTGCCCGCCAAGTTAATTTCCCATCTGTCGCTGAAGGAGGTAAGCTAACTACAGTTAGCCGGCGTGGCTACTTACACCAAAGTTTCCCTCGACTTTGGTCAACCATTCAAGCACGACTGAAAGACGCGTTAACGTTTGCGATATTACATACAACCAAGTTGAGTAGCACTGGATTAACTAAAATAATTTGAGGTAATTTGGTGGTATGTATTCCTCTCAAAAGATAAAACACAACATGTCATTTGGTGTATTCATTAATCCAAGTAAGACCTGCTGCGGTTTCCAGCTGTCCGAATTTCCTTCGATTTGAGCCAAACTTCTCCCAGTCTGACTGAAATAACGTATTCTGTAACAGTTCAATGACACGGTTATTAACACTAGTTGTAAATCATCCGACAGGCTGGCACTCCCACGTGCCCAGCAATCAATTTTTATGAGGAATTTGAGGACTAGAAACTGCCGTGTTTCAAAAAAAAATGCTACAGTACAAAAGGGAAGACACGCAATTAGGAATGTTATAGAAAACAGACAAATGGACATATCCAGACTTCATCAGCGGTACTGGTAGATTTTAGACACTGGTTACTGTTTCCTGTCCTCCAGCATGACGTCAATGACTTTGGTTTCAGAACCAGGCCTTGGAGTTGTCCAGTTGTCGTGACGGCCCACCGGCGTTCCTCAGCTGGACTCTGAGCCGCAGCTCCTCCGACTCGGATGGCCAATGCGTGGAGCTGTGCAGACACCTGGCAGACAGGCTGGGCCTGCGGGACAGAGAGGAGGTAAAAGTCCGTCTTTTTTTCGTGCGAGCACCGCGGGTTGATGAGCTTGTTGTGTTCCTCAGGGGTTCTTGAAGGCATGTCAGCAAGTGTCGTCGGTGCATCGAGTGTTTGTGGAGCCGCTCTCGGCTGACGACTGGGAGCTCTTGGTATGTTCTTGTGTCATTGAAGAGAGCCCCCAAAAAAAAAAAAAATAAAAACATTTCATGTTGTCATTACACTCTAAGGAGCTGCATAGTGGCGCACTCGAGCAGAAGCTTTTGGATCAGATCCGGGTGGTGTTCCCAGATGCTGTTTTCCCCGTGTGGGTGGATAGCCACACAGTCATCTACATCCACATTGGTAAAAAATATTTTGAAGAACCTTTTTTGGGGGTGGTGGTGGGGGTCTTTTTTTTTTCAACCAGATCAATTTCTTTAATTCAACATAATGGGTATTTTTCTTGAAATTGTTTTTTTTTCCCCCAGGAGAGCCTCATTTTTCAAGAAAGAACATTTGTAATATGGAATTCATATTACTAAATTGAAATTCATGTTTTGCATGTTCATTTAAAATAAAAATCAGCTGTTACATTAGAAAAGCGAATCTAACATTGTATCCTATCAATCTCGATACAGAGTAAAATATTAGTTTTTTTTTAAAAATTGTACATAGCTTGTGACTAACAAAATCCTCAATTTCACCATTATTAGAAAATCTAACATTTACATCAACAATTCAAATGGTTTTCAGACTTAGAAATTAGTTTGCCCTTTGTTTTATGTTTAATGAACGCGTATAATGTAAGAGTTTAATTTCCCTTTGAATTGAAGAACGGACACGAATTAACTTTTTATTGAGAATCAAGCTGTTTACGTCGCCTCCCTTCTTGCAGCGTCCTTGTCACCTTCGGTGCCTTACGGACGCCTGGAGCCCTTTACGGAGCTCGTGGTGACTCCCAAGAAGCAGGCCAGCCACCTCAAGGGGCTTCCCCACTCCCGTTTTGACTCACCACCCACACCTGCAGCCCCCCCTCAAACCATCTCCCCTCCGAGTCAGCAATGGGGGGGCATAGCGGACCTGAAAAGTCTGTTCAGCTACATGACAAAAGGCACCCGTGACCCACTTAAGGAGGTCCTATCAGTACCGGAGGTCCCCACCCTGCTCGCCGACGCCCTCTACAGAGTATGTGGCTCACCCCCTCTGTCTCTGGCCGCCGCCAGCCACGTGGCGCCCGGCGTGCTTCACGTCTTCCCCTTGGAACACGGCTCGAATTTCGACATCGCGGACGCTCAGCCAGAGATGACCTACGGGCTGCTGTCCAAAGTGCCTTCGCCCACGGAGAGAGCCAGGGTGGAGAAGAAGAAGAAGAATGCGGCAGGAGATGGAGGAGCGGAGGCCAAAGGTCAGGAGGCCACGGTGGTGCGCTTGGTGTGCCATGGTACTGATATGCAAAGACGACACACCCAGGGAAGCATCCACTGTGGTCAAGTTTGGGTGAGACAGACAAAAATAAAACAAGGCTCTCGCCCACACTCTTTTTCTCCTTGTATTTGAATTTTCGATTTTTTGGACCAGATTCCTCCAGTCTTGGCTGTCAGGCTCGACATCCCGCCACATTCAGCAGTGAGAATAAAGCCGGTGAAATCAACCGTGAAAGAGGCGTCCGCCATTCAACTCCAGCCTCTAAAACCACTGGTGAGTCTCAAAGGAGTCAAATTTATGTGTGAAAATTCATGGCATTCTTTATACTAAATATATTTCTATCAAACAAGAGTCAAGTTGTATTTTTTTTTTCCAAGATAAAAAATATTGCAATGTTAGCTTTTTTTTTTTTTTAAACCCAAAAAACTAACAATAATCTAATGAGAACATTTAATGTTATTTCTTTGTGAATAGTACTATTTTTATGATTGAAAATACGAACCTTATGATAAATGGGAGTTCCAAAAATATCTTCCTCCTCAGACGGAGACGGAGGAGGGCGAGGAGGAGGCGATCCAGACGGCCTTCCTTGGCTGGCTGCACACTCAGACTCACCAACCTTTGGCGTGCTTGACGCCACGAGCCGGCTCCGTCCTCCTACACGCCACTGACGGTGAGTCCAACCCCCCGCCCCCAAAAAAACCCCCAAAACTCATCATCCAAGTTCACCAGGGCGCTCTACCTGAGCAATGTTGGTCCTTTCCTTCCAGACAAGTTGGAATTTGCTGTGACAGTGCTGAGACCAGAACCAGAACCCGAGCGCGATCCGCCAGACCAGCTGTTTCTGCTCTCACCTTCCGTTTTACAGAAGAAACACATACAGGTTTACTGGATTATTATTTTTTTTTCCAAAAATCAATTCATTCCATCTCCATCATCATCATCGCACGTGTTGTGTCCTGCGTTCAGGTAGTCCGAGACCCGGCGTCCGTACCAGCTGCTGAAGTGGACCCACCAAAACCAGATCTTCCCTCTCTGGATTCTCTCGGGTAAGTCAACAGAGTATAAATCACAATTTTAGCACGCTTGCGTTTCAAACATATTTGTTTGATGTGTTTTGTTGTCAAGAGGTGTGGAGGAGCTGAGCAGAAAAAGTTTGGAGTTCATCTCCTACAGTCTTCTGGCGACTCCGTTGGCCAGAGAGCTGCTGGGAATCATCGGACGAGGACACACTGCCGAGAAAAGAAAAGGGGAAGAGAGACCGACCATTCAGCGTTATCAAGTGCTTTCATGTGGACTCTTTCCATTTCCATCGGTGCATTTTTGAATGAAGAAGAAAAAAAACATTCTTTGGGGCGGGGCTTTCATTTTGAAAACGACACTGCCTAGAAAAGAAAATGGGAAGAGACCATTCAGCGTTATCAAGTGCTTTCATGCGGACTCTTTCCATTTTCATCGGGGGATTTTTGAATGGAGAAGAAACAAACATTCTTTGGGGCGGGGCTTTCATTTTGAAAACAGAGTCTTTTATGAAATATTGAGTAGTCTAACCAGAATGTATCCCTAACCTCCTTGTAATGGGTCTCTACAGTCCTGAGGTGTCCCTAATAAAGTGGCCATGGTTCTTTTGTGAAATATTGAGTAGTCTAACCAGAATGTATCCCCCCCACATCCCTCCTTGTAATGGGTCAGTACAGTCCTGAGGTGTCCCTAATAAAGTGGCCATGGTGTCTTTTCGTAGGGCAGCGGAAAGAGCGCACTGTCTCGCGCCCTCTGCAGGAAGGCTGCAGAGCAGCTGGACGCCCACGTGGAAGTGGTGGAGTGCAAAACGTTACAAGGTGCTCGGGCCGCTTGACAAGTCTTCTCCATTACCGCGGTATCGTTTTCATTCTTCTGAATTTTGAAGAGAAATTATTTTCCCTAGGCAAAAGGGCAGAGACGATTCGCCAGACCCTGCAGGACGTTTTCACGCAGGCGGAATGGATGCAACCCTCCGTGGTCCTGCTGGACGACTTGGATCACGTGAGCCGGGCGTCCGCCTCGCCCGAGCACGAGCACGGCCCCGAGGCGCTGCTGCACCTGCACGTCGCGCAAAGTATTTTCGGAGCAGGACATGAGCATTAGGATTGTTGTCGTCGGATGCGGTCCGTCATCGTTTTGTGTCGTCATTGTCGTAGGCTTGCGGGACCTCGTGAAAGATGCGATGGATCATGACGTTCTGATGTGTTTGATGGTGACCAGTGAGAGCAAACGCTCGTTACACGAGACGCTCACGCACGTGCAAGGAACGCACTTCTTCCAGGCCTTCGCGGACATACGACCACCCGACCAGGTCGAAAGCTCGCTCTCTGCATCGCATTGACACCAAGTTAGGGATTGATCCCGATATTTGGCATTTTGGCAACATTAACCTTAAAAAAAAAAATAAGAATAATAATCCAGTATTTCAATAAAAGTTTCACTTTCAATTGGGTGAACGTCAGGGAACTTTTTACTGCAACTTTCAGTTAAGTTTATGTAAGACGTTGCTAATCCTGTGAAGTGAAAGATTAACATTTCAGTTTTATTCAAATTCTGGTCAACCTATTTAGTGTCGAAAATTCTCGGGAGCTATCGTTGAAGTTTCATGAAGCTTTCATGCCGCTGAACCCTGGAGCTCCCTGCACTTTTTGTTTGAAATTTAAAACATAGATGTCTATTGTCTCCAGATGAAAAAGGGAAACACCTTGAAAATCGGAAAAGTTCAATCATCAACACGCTTAAAAACATTTACAATACCGGAGTTTGTATTTTAAACATTTTGACGCCAATACTTTCCATTTTCCCGCAAATTTTATCGGCAACAAATAGCTACTATCAGCCTCCTTTACTACGACTAAAAAATATCCGGATTGACCCAGGGGGGGTGGGG